AAAAAAGAAGATAATAAAATAAAAATAGAATAGTATGTAAAAAAAAATTACTAGGGTATCTGGCCACCCCTCACAATCCCTCCATACTTGTTAACGAGTACCACGAGTTTACAGGAGGAATTGGACTTCAGCATTGGTCAATTGCTGGATTTTGGTAAGCGTGGTGAAAGTGGAACAGTATAACTGTTCTACCCCAAATCGTGCAAAGATATTGTAAGTTCTCTGGGCAGTAGTTAGATAATGTCGGGAGGCAATATCCTTAAAACTATTGACTCAGGCATCAATTAAGGAGCCCAAATAGTACGCATAGACCAAGGTCTCCACGCGGTCTCCTCTTCTACTGGCTAAATGCAACTGTTGGTAAGTTAGAGAAACTTGGACATTAACATCTTAATCAGGGCTATAAGGACGGGGGATGGGAATAATGGGGTCAAGGTTAAGTATATTTTGGTCAAATTGGATCTGGGCTACAATCGGGTTGTTGTTCATTTTTCCTTATTTACTCTTGGTGGATGAGGAGTTTAGCTATTACATTTTTGGTCAGTATTTATACTTTTCTTTCAAAGTAAGGCTTTAATAATTGTTTATTTAAGGGTGCTGCTAATACACTTCCACTTAATTCTCTTAATTTATATGCGCCATTTGGAAGTTTCACGTGTATATAATAAGGTCCCTTCTATTTGGGCGTTAATTTATGGCTGTGGGTCCCCAGTTTCCTGGCGTCTAGCACTTGGACTTTCTCACCAATGCTAAAATCAGCAGTGGCTATGATTTGCTAATCGTGATGCCTTTTTTGTTTCTGCTATTCCCTCTTAATTCGGCGCAGGGTGTTTTCACTGGCTTCGGGTAGATCACTGTTGATCTCATATAGCCGCTGTATAATAGTGTCATTTAATAAGTCTTCAGACACACTAGGGTGGATAGATAATTGGGCATTTCTCCCATACACTAGATAGAAAGGAGTCTCCTGCGTCGTAGCTTGCTTCGCTATATGGTAGGCAAACAAAATTGGTGGGTAAGTCCCAGTCCGTCACATTTGCAACCAATCTTGCTATTGCATTGCATAGCGTTTTGTTAAAATGCTCTACAAGCCCATTTATCTGTGGGTGATACAGGGTGGAATTATGATGTTTGACACTTATAGCCGCAAGAAGTTCATCTACTACGTGGTTATTGAAATGTGACCCTTGATCAGATAGTATGATGCTGGGGCATCCGTGTTGGCATACTATCTCTTCATAGATGAACTTAGCCACTGTTTGGGCATTTGCCGTGGGAATTGCACGAGCCTCCGGCCATTTCGTCATATAGTCAGTCACAACGATAATGTATTTATTAGTTCGAGGCATTACAGGCAATGGACCGACTATGTCGATGCCTATTCTATGGAATGGGGCTTGGACAGATATCGGATGCAACAGTTCCTTGGATCTTTTGCTCCCATGCCTTTGGCATTTCTCACATGTCTTGACATATTCTCATATGTTATTGTACATTTGGGGCCAGAAATAATGGCTTCGGACTTTATTAAACACAATGTCCTTCCCGAAGTGGGCTCCCATTGGATGATTGTGTACTAGGCTTAGAATTCGTTCTACTTCTCCTTCTCGTAGAACCCTAAGAGGCTTTTCCTTTTGCTTCTTATTCTTCTTGTATAAATTTCCCGTTTTGATTTGGAAATATTGACTCTGTTTCTCTAAACGCTTTTTTTGTTGTTTATCATAGGTTTGCGGGAACTGCCGGTGCTGTAGGTATATTACTAACGCGGAATACAATTGATGGTTCATTTTTCGTCCTGCTAATATGGAAAACCGTATGTTTGGTCTTCTTCAGTTTCAGTACTTGCTAGGATACCGACAACCTGGACTGAATTGAATTTAACGTCAGGTTTTGTGAGTTCAGAGTCTGTTTAGTTAGTAGTTAGCTGTAACTTTTAGTAATTTTGCACTGGAAGGTTTTCTTTTATTTCTTCCGATCACTATAATTCTGTGCCCTTCGATGTACTTTGATATTATTCTAAATTTTTGTAGTCTATTGAAAATTTTCCAAGTCTCAGTTTGAGTATATTTTGACTTCAATTTTTTTTTTTTTTTTTTTTGTGTTTTCCACTTGTTACTGTTGTTCGGCAAATGTTGTGATCTATGATTTCGATACGGGTTCCTTTCCAATTCTATTGATTCTTACTTAGTACCTACTATTGTTCTAATAACTGTTCAACTTACAATCGTTGTTTCCTTCTTCCCCTTTAGTCAAGTTCTAATACTTCAGCCTCTCCACAGCTGCGTGATTGAGTTTTTAGTGTTCCTTTGCCTATTACAGTTTTGCTACGGTATTGCGGTCTGGGTTTTAAAACTTCCTTGTGAGCCTTTAGCTTCGTATGGTCATTTTGCGAGCTTGGTTTATTCTTTTCTTGAGGTATATAGACCTGGAGGGATCAATAATTCGTTTCTATACTCGTTGGTAAAAAAAAAATAGATTTAATGTTTTAAATAGGGCCCCTCAACTCGTCCTATTTCATCCTAACCACCCTTGCTCTATTGTCAGGTCTGAATTTAATAATAATAAAAGGAAAAAAAAGTACATATGTTGGCAACACGTAATTTTTTTTTTTTTTGAATATTCATATTCGTAAATTAAGTGGCAACCATCAATATATCTAAACTACTAATATGAAATGTTTAATTTACTACTAATCAAAGAATTATATGTATAAAGTGTTTTTTTTTTTTGAATTTTGAATTTTGATTGATTTTTTTTTTTTTTTTTTTTTTTTTTTTTTTACCATTATTGAGAGGCATAGTATTCCCAGTCAATGTAAGTGTCCATTGGTTGGGACCAGTATTCGGAGTCAAAGTTCAAGCCTGGAATTCCCGGGAAGAAGTCACTATAATCAGCCTCGTGCCAGCTTGGGTCGAGACCAAAGTAAGCAACAACATTTTCATGATATTCATTGGTTTCCTCAAATTCGAGCCCTGTAGTTAGCTCACCCCACTGAGGTATGTTGATAAGGTATACTTCATCCAATTCCATAGGCTGAACCTCATCTTCAGGACCAGTATTTTGTATATATTCATTCTGGTACCTATTCACGGTTGACCAGGTTATCTCTAATTCGGCTTCTATGGCCAACTCAGTCAAAAGGTCTTGTAGGTATCTTTCTCGTTCATAGTTTTCTTCCCATTCATACTCTTGAAAATCATACTCAATGTTACTGTCTATATCTTCTTCCCATCTATTTTCAGCATTAGGGTTCCAGGAAACAATCTCCATTTCTTCATCAAGATCTTCGAGGAAGTAATTTTGAGCAATAATCCGGAAAACCTCGATCTCTTTTACGGCAGCTATTTGGGTCTCTGGGTTTTCTTGGAGATACTCAACTTGATATCCTTTTTCTTTATTATTTGTTTCTTTTATCTGACTATTATCATTAACCATTTTGTCCTCTTTATCTTGCGGTAATTCTTCAATCATTCTAGACAATGCGTCAGCATTGTTGTGTACTCTTCCTGCCCTATAAAATATGACATAAATGTAGAGTTGTAGGCGTAAAATCTACCGGGCCCTTCTTCCCTTTAGTGCTGTCTTGTGGAGCCACTTTAGAGTGGAGTGATCAGTAACTATAACAAAGAGTTTATACCCTAGATAATGGTGAAAGTACTCTACGGCCCACACCACGGCGTAACATTTAAGTTCAGTGGCAGAGTAATTTCTTTCTGGCCAGGTAAGTCCTTTGCTAGTGTATGCAATAGCATACTCCCTGTTTGCCTCGTCTTTTTGGGCTAGGACTGCTCCTAATCCTACACCTGACACGTCAGTATAGAGATATAATGTTTTCTCGAAATTTGGATATCTCAGGACTGGAACCATTATAAGGTGGGTTTTTAGTGTTTCGAAAGCTTGTTTCTGAGTATTTCTTCATTGATACAGAATATTTTTTTCCAAGAGCTGGTGTAACAGTTTTGCTATAGTTGCAAAACCCTTTATGAAATATCAATAGTACGAGGCTAGGCCGATAAAGCCTCTTAATTGTCTTAGGTTAGTTGGTGGAGAAAAATTTTCAATCTTCTCTACCTTTTTTTTGTCTGGCTGGATTCCATTTCTTCCTACGGTATGACCTAGGAAATTAATGTAATTTTTTAATAATTCACATTTTTCAGGATTAAATTTTAATCCTGCAGCCTTTATCTTGGAGAAAACATTTGTAAGGTGTAGTAAATATTCCTGGTAGGTTTTTGAGTAGATGATAATATAATCTAGGCATACAGCAACATATTTTCCAATGAATTCGTGTAGAATATAGTTCATAGCCCGTTGAAAAGTGGCCGGCGCATTACACAAACCAAAGGGCATAACATTGAACGCATAAACCCCTTGCTTTGTAATAAATGCAGTTTTCTCCCGGTCCTCAGGTTTCATTGGAATCTGCCAGTACCCACTGGCTAAGTCGAGGCAAGAGAACCACTCAAATTTATTAAATAAGTCCAACATATCGTCGATACGTGGTAGGAGGTACGCATCTTTTGCTGTTACGGTATTAAGTTTTCGATAATCTACGCATAAGCGTAGCTTGCCATTTTTTTAGATACGATTACTACGGGGGATGTCCAGGCGCTCTTTAACTCATAAATGAGCCTGTTATCCAGTAGTATTTTGATTTCTTTGTCCAAGAAATATTGTTCATCTGGCGTGATTCAATAAGCCAATTGCCTAATCGGCCTTGCTTCTCCGGTGTTAATTTCATGTTGAACTTCTATAGCACAACCCAGTTTATCTAACCCGGTTGAAAATAGAGTGTTAAAGTTTTTTAAAGTAAGGATGGCTTCTTTTCTTTTTCTGGATTTAGAGTATTTACTTTTACTAATTGCTCCATTATTTGATCTAGAGTTAATTCAGCTTGGAGTTTTTCGCCGGGAATAGAAATCTCTTCTATGTCAGTTAGGTAGATAGCGGGGTTATTTATATCTTCGTAGGGGTTAAGGGTTGATTTATCTGTCTTAGCTTCATCTGTGTGATAACTTTCAACCTCTTCTAGATCTTTTTCTTCCTCATAGAGGTCGAAAAAGTCGTTATCTTCATCATAGTCGTCTTGAGGTGGGTCTTGCTTATCTTCCTTAGCTTAGTAAATTGGGATCTCCAATTGTCGACCCAAGTATCGGATGAATAATTTTCTTTCATCGAAGTAGAGGCGAGCATGGACCTTCTGGAACCAATTGATGCCGAGGAGCATCATTTCTTCCGGGTTTTCTATAACCTGGAAGTCCATGGATATTAGTGTATTTTGCATAGCTAGCTTTACTCCCAGTACCTTGCCCAATGCACATTCTCTTGCCCTACTGGCTATAATAACTACGGTGTTTGAGGGTTCTGTAATAGTAAGCCCAAGTTTTTTTGCTAACTTTATTGATATAATGCTGACTGCAGCCCCTGAATCCAAAACTGCTAAAATTGGATTATTTTGGACTTGTACATAGCATTTAGCTACCGTGGTCCTTTGATAGTGTTTGTTTTCTGCAAAGTTAGTAGCTTCTAATCTAGTAATAATTGGGCGTTGTAGAGCTTGGGCCAAGTTTTGCCTCTGTCTTGGGACTTGCAATAGTTGGGCATACGTAGCATTAGCACATTGGTTTAGAAGGTCCTCAGCAATATTGTATGAAGGCGTTGAGTCTACACGTGAGGGGCCCCATCTACGCCTAACTCTATTAGGTACTTCAGGTTGTGGTTGAACTGGGGCTTGGGTAGGTGCATCTTCTTCCATAGGGGTTGGTTGGGGTGTTTGAATTGTTCGAGGCACCATATTAGGCTCTAATGCAACTCTTTTTCTCAATTGATTGTTCCAATTCGTTTCATCCTCTGGTCTTTCAGTTTATTTAATGGCATATGCTTCATCTCCTGCGCCAGTATCATATATATCACATAGATTTATGTTTCTGGTGGTTGAAGCGGGCCTATTATGGTCTGCTAGGAGTCGTTGGGAGCCTTGTTGTTCTGAGAGGCAGTTTCTGGCAATGTGGCCTCTTTCTTCGCACCTATAGCATACAATACCTTCGTTTCTTGGTTGTTGGGACCGGTACTGTTGTGGTGGGGCTTAATATGTGTTGGCTGGTGTCCGGAGTGGGGTAGGCTCAATCCTGGCGGCCAAAGCTGCCATTAATCTTTCACAATTTGCAGCCATTTGCTGAATTTTTTGTGTTAGCTCATCAACAACTTGATTAGTGGGTTCCTTTTGGTTTCTTTTTTCATAATATTGACCAGCTTCTATTTTTCTTGTTTTTGCAACAGCTTCGTCCAATGTGTCAAAGTCATCTGGGGACATTAACGCGGCGATTTTTCCATAGAAACCTCCCATGAACATTCTAACGACATATGTGGCGGGTATCTGACGATCGGAGTCAACTCTCTTCAAAAGTTTTTTAAATTGGTAGGCATATCTGTCTACTTTTTCTTTTTCTTTCTGGCTTAAGGTGGTTAATTCTAACTGCCATTGGTGCTTACGTTCCGGAGTGGCAAAGTACTTGGTGAAGGTTTGAACGAAACTGTCTTCCGGGTTATCTTTGTTGTCCCAGAACAATAAATTTTCTCTTTGGTCATTGTACCAACTGGCTACTATCCCGATAGGTGCCCCGAGGCAATTTTAATTTTTCTTCACGGGCCCAGTTATTGGCATCTGCCGCTCTCTCGAAGGCTTTAATCCACTCGACTGGGTCTTCGTCTTCTTCTCCTTTAAAGGTTTTTATATGAACCCAGTTGTTTTTCCGTGGATTTTGGGGAACATCATAAATGGCCACTTCTCTAAAGGCTTGCGCAATCTCCCGAAGAAGGTCATAGGCTTGATTTTGGTTTGCTAGTGGAACTTGGAAATCATCATTAATCATTGGTTCCCCATCGATGGTCCTATTGTCCTCAAGTTGGTCTAAATCTGACATAGCTTGACAGGAAGTTAAAAAAAATAGGTTGTTTTGTCTAATTAATTCTCTCTCTCTTTTTTTTTTTTTTTAAAAAAAAAAAATAGTTGTGAGGTTAGAAGTAGGTATCTCGAAGTCACCACCAATTGAGAAGGGCGTGACTAACGATTTTGGACTAAAACTAGCTAATCTGACTAAGCTAAACTCTAGCTAATTCAATCTTTCGCTTCAAGACACCTAAAACCTTAAGGTGGAAGGCTTCGGAAGAGGCGTGAAAAGATTTGGTCTGGGTTTTAATGTTCTTCGGGCCTTGCAATGTTGTTTCCGGGATTTGAATAAGTTTCCCTTATTTAAACTGGCAATCTTAGCTTAATA